TTCTGGGCTGGCAGGCAGCCGGGAGCACCTGGCTTGGGGGTGCTACAGGTGTCCAGGGCAGGCACAGCCCTGCTGGCTGTTGTCACATGCTGACAGGGTGGCACTGAGCTAGGCCTGAGGGGGGACCCGTGTCACGCTCCCCTCACTGCTGCAGCTCCCACCTGTTTGGTCCTGGGGTGACGCCAGGCCGCCTGTCCCAGGGCCACGGTGACAAGGTGAACACCTCTACAGGCAGCCCCGACCTCACGGTGCAGCCCACCCGAGACCCTGCTCCAGCAGCTCCCTGGTGTCCCAGCTCCTCTCCATGCTGCCGCCGGCACAGCCGTGCTCCTTGCCCCGTGGCTGATGCCTGGCTCTGCCAGTGGGCATGGCTCTGCCAGTGGGTACCCCCTCTCCGCCTGTCCCCCTGTCCAGCACAACCAGACACCACCAGCAGTGCCCAGAGTCCTCCTTCTGGTGCTACAGAAAGATGCCAAATAACTGATTTCCTGGATGGGTGCTGCCCGTGGCTCAGCCTGCAGCTCGAGAGGCCTCTGGCCAGGCGTGGGGCTGTTGAACAACAGGCGGCGGGGGTTGGTCTTTCCGTCCCGCAGCCGGTCTGGGCCGTGCCCTCGCTGGGGTGGGGTTGGCAGGGAGGTGGTGCTGAGGCTGTGTGGGGGCTGTGCAGGTTGTGAGCATGCAGGCAGCGACCACCCGGCCTCCCGCAGCTCCGGGCGAGGCTCCTTCCTGCTGCACAGCACCCGGGCTCTGCTGGTGCTCCTGGGGCAGGGCTGGTGGAGCTGGGCTGGCGATGGAGCATCTGCCTGGGGTTGGGCCCATGGGCTCCACAGCAGGACAGGGGAGGTGGAGGTGCCAACAGGCTGTGAGAGGCAGCGAAGACAGCTCCTCTGCTCCAGTTTCTGCTCCTGTAAGATGCCGCTTTAGGAGAGCCCCAAACTCAAAGGACAGTGTCAAGCTGTAGGTGCTCAAACTGGGCAACGTTGGTGGCCTCGTGCCCTGCCCAAGTGGCCTGAGCCAGCCCCCGGCAGCACGTGTGCAGGGAACAGGGTCCACTGCCTGGCCCCGGGTGGCTTTGGGCTGTGTTCATTTCACTCGTGCTCTTTGGGGCTGTACAGAACATCTGGAAGGGGGTATTTTAGCCAGTTCAAAGCACCGACCTCCAGGAAAGGGTCAGTGCTGTTGGAAGCACAGCGGGGAGCCCGGGAACTACAGTCTGTTTGATGGGGGGTGCGTGTGCCTGGTCCAGCAGAGCAGGTCCTGCCCCATGGCCCACAGCCCCACGGCCCCATCCTCCCAGCTGGCAGCCTCAGGCCTCTGCCCCTCTCCCAGAGGTGCTGCAGCTGCTCGGGGCCAGCGGCGGTCACTGGCGGTTCCTGCTGCCCAGTTTCCTCCGCTGGCTGTCGTCTGATTTGTGCACCCGGAAACACTCCTTCAAGTTCTGGGCTCGGATTTTGGGGTTCAGGATCTCCTCCCCCATAGAACTGGGGAACCAGCCCCTCTCCTGGTCGTGAAGACGCTCTCCAAATATCCAGCCTGAGCAGAGACAGAGACAGGTGTAAATGGGGAAGGACTGGCCCTTGCTGCTGCTCGGGGGCAGTTCTCCCAGTGAAGGGCCTGTGGAGCTGGTTGTGCCTTCTGGAGGCTGCTTGGGGGCCTGTGCTGCAGAGGACTTGGCTTGTAAATCTAGCCAAGGAGGCCCCCACCCCCCTCAGGGGCACTGCTCGGGCAACTGGCACAAGGGATGCCAGCAGAAAGTGGGCACTGATGCCCCTGCCTGCCCTCCGCTCCCCCAATGCCCCAGGAGGGGTCCCAAGTGAGAGAGCCCACCCGTGTGCCCCAGAGAGCCAGGACCAGGGGGCTGTGAAGCCCCTTCAGGTAAGAACAGCTCTGGGTTACAACTGGGGCAGCTGTGCCAGCCCTGCCATGGCCCGCATCTGGTACCAGGGG